TTAAAAATTTTAAATATTTTTGAATTTTCAATTGAAATTAATTAGATTCAATTTTTTTATTGAACCAATTAATATAATCGTCTAATGATACAGCTTCTACTACAATAGGCATAAATCCGTGATTAATACCACAAATTTCACTACATTGACCATAAAAAACACCTTCTCTTTTAATAAAAATTGAAGTTTGATTTAATCTACCTGGACAAGCATCTAATTTTACACCTAAAGAAGGTACAGCCCATGAATGTAAAACATCAGTAGCTGTAATAATTACACGAATATGTGTATTAGTAGGAACTACTACACGATTATCTACTTCTAAAAGACGGAATTGACCTTTGTCTAAATCTTCTTCTAATACCATATAACTATCAAAAAAAATAGAATCATCCATAGCATCAGAATATTCATAACTCCAATACCATTGACTACCTATAACTTTTAAAGTTAAAATAGGATCAATAACTTCATCCATAGCATATAATAATGAAAATGAAGGTATTGCTATAATAATTAAAATAAGAGCTGGAGTAATGGTCCATACAATTTCTAAAACAGTACCATGTACAAAAGTTTCAGCTTTTTTATTAGTATTTTCATTAAAAAAAAAAATACATCTAGCTAAAATCCAACTAACAAATATTACAATTAATACTAAAAAAAAAACTAAATCATGATGAAAGTTAATAATACCTTCCATTACTGGAGTAGCAGGATCTTGAAAACCCATTTGCCAAGGTAACGAAGCATCTAAGAAAGTTATTTGGTTGTTAATAATGTTTAAAAATTTCATAAATATTAATAATAATTTTTTAAATATATTAAAAATAAGGTTTATAAAATAAATATTTTAAAAATAAAATATAAAAAAATATAAATATTTTATTCTTCTAAAATAAATATATTTTTTTATATTTTATTCTAAAATATTTTATATTAATAAAATATTTTGAATAAAATAATATAATTAGTGTAAATTTAAAGCATCATTTATGTAAATACAAGTTAATATTGTAAATACATAAGCTTGAATTACAGCAACACCTAATTCAATACTTACTAATATAACTAATAATATTAAAGGAATAAAATGTGCAATAAATATTACAGTATTTACATTTAACATAGTCCAAGCAAAACCTGCAATAACTTTTAATAAAGTGTGTCCTGCCATCATATTAGCAAATAATCGCACTGGTAAACTAATTGCTCTAAAAATATAAGAAATTAATTCAATAGGTACTAATAAAGGTACTAAATTAATACTTGCACCACTAGGTAATAATAAACCAAAAAATTTTAATTTATGTTTTTGAATACCTATTATATTAAATCCAATATAAATAGTTAAAGATAATGCAAAAGTAATAATTAAATGACTTGTTACAGTAAAACTATAAGGGATCATACCAATTAAATTACATAATAATACAAAAAAAAATAATACAAAAATTAAAGAAAAGAAATATCTTCCATTTTTACCTATATTTGAGTAAGCTAATTCTAAAGCAGTATTATATATAATTTCAAATATTTGTTGTATATGAGTTGGTATAAATTTACTTTGAATAAATAAGTAAACTATTATAAAATAAAGACCTATAATTAAAATTAAAGAGGCATTTGTTAAAATAAAAGGTATTTGAAAAATTGGTAAAATTTCAAATTGTTCTAAAGGACTCACTATTTGATATTTAAAATAAATTTATTTTATTGACCACCCCACCAATAAACAACAATAAATAAAAATAACCATACAACATCTACAAAATGCCAATACCAAGCAGCAGCTTCAAAACCGAAATGATTTTGTCTAGTAAAATGATGTTTAACTGCTCTAATAGTACCTACAATAATAAAAATAGTACCTACAATTACGTGAATTCCGTGAAATCCAGTTAGTAAAAAGAAAGTAGTACCATAAATACTATCAGAAATTGAAAATGAAGCTTCTATATATTCATATGCTTGAATAAATGTAAAAAAAACAGCTAAAGAAATAGTTAATATTAAACTTAAAATAATATTTTTTCTAGAACCAACTATAATAGCATGATGTGCCCAAGTAATAGTAGCACCTGAAGTTAATAAAATAACAGTGTTTAATAATGGAATACCCCATGCATTTATAGTTTCTATACCTAAAGGTGGCCATACAGAACCAATTTCAGGAGTAGGAGCTAATGCTGAATGAAAAAATGCCCAAAAAAAACTTAAAAAGAACATAACTTCACTAATGATAAACATTAGCATACCGTTACGTAAACCTAATTGTACTTTTAAAGTATGTTGACCTTCATAAACAGCTTCACGAACTACATCTCTTAACCAAGTATAAAAAACAAATAATATACTAATTAAACCTGTAAAAACTAAAAAAATACTTCCTGTATAACCATGAAACCACATAGCAGTTCCGAAAGTAAAAAATAAACAACCAAAAGATGCGAAAAAAGGCCAAGGACTTGGATCAACTAAATGATATGGATGTTGATATAAATTTTGTATATTTTTATTAGACATATGAAATCTAAATTTTTTTTTTACGAATTATAAATTTAATGTTTAAATAAAATGTTAAATATTATATATTATTTTTATAAATAATATATAGAAATTTCCATATGAGAAACTAATTGATATATAGTTTCATGCATACAACTTAAAAATATTTTAGGATAAAGTCCCATAACTAATGTAATAAAAATTAATATAATATGAATTAAAAATTCTCTATAACTTATATCATAAAAAATATTTAAAAAATTACTTTGAATATTACCATAGCAAACACGATTATATAATAATAATGAATAAGCTCCACCTAAAACCATACTAGTACCTGATAAAAAAGCTACTATAGTATTTTCTTGAAAAATACCAGCTAAAATTAATAATTCACCTACAAAACTACTTGTACCAGGAATTGATATATTTGCGAAAATATAAAATAAAAAGAAAATAGAATATATAGGCATAGTATGTGCTAAACCACTATAATAACTTAAATATCTTGAATGATATCTATCGTATAAAACACCTATACATAAAAATAAAGCACTAGCAACAATACTGTGACTTAACATTTGTAATAAACTACCTTCAATACCTTCAATTGTTAATGAAAATAATCCTACTAAAATCATATTCATATGTGCAACAGATGCATAAGCAATAATACGTTTTAAATCTGTTTGACGTATAGCAGTAATTGATGCATATATTATAGAAATAATACATAAAACTAATACTAAAGGTGTAAAAAATACAGTAGCTTTAGGGAATAATGGTAAAGAAAATCTAATTAAACCATAAGAACCTAATTTTAATAAAATACCAGCTAAGATAACTGAACCTGCAGTTGGAGCTTCTACGTGTGCTTCAGGTAACCAAATATGAAAAGGTAACATAGGTACTTTTACTGCAAAAGAAAAAAAGAAAGCTAACCAATATAATTTTTGATAAAAAAGATCAAAATTATAATTATATAATAAAATATATAAAGTTGTACCTGTAGTAATATATATATGTATTATAGCAATAAACATAAATAATGAACCAGTTAATGTATATATAAATAAATAATAAGAAGCTTTAATTTTTCTTTCACGAGAACCCCAAATACCTATAATTAAAAACATAGGTATTAAAACACTTTCAAAAAAAATATAAAAAATAATTAAATCTAAAGTACTAAAAGTTATTAATAAAAAAAATTCTAAAAAAAAAAATAAGATACAAAAATCTTTTATATTTTTTTGAATAATTTCATAACTAGTTAAAAAACAAATAGGAATTAAAAAAGTAGTTGCTATTATAAAAAATAAAGAAATACCATCTATACCTATACTAAAATACATATTATAATTAGTTAACCAATTATAAGTAAAACTAAATTGAAATTCTGATGCTGTTTTATCAAATAATATCCATAAAAATAAAGAAATTATAAATATTAAAAAAGAATAAAACACACTAAAATTTTTGATATTTTTTTCATTATTCATAAAAAATAAAAAAAAAATACCGAAAAGAGGTAAAAAAATTAAAATTAATAATAAATTAAACATATTTATAAATTTGGCGAATAATGGGGATTGAACCCATAACTTTCAAACTCACAATCTGACACTCTACCGATTGAGCTATATTCGCCTTTAATTTTTATATCTTTTTTAAAAGATTATAAAAATAAAATAAGGGTTTTTTAATTTGATAATTTAAAGGTAATATTTGTTCAAAACTTTTATTTGAAAAAATTTTTTTCATTTTTTGATTCGAAAATATTAAATCTTGTTGAAATAAATAAATAAATTCTAATTTTTTAAATTGTTGAGTTATAGAATTAGTTTCTAAAAATTGATTTCCATAAATAATAATTAAAGCACCTTGACCTTTTAAATTTGGGAAAGTATTTTTAATTAAATTTTGTTTTAAAATCAAATAATTAAAATTTAATTTTTTTATTTTTTTTGTTAAATTTATTTTTTCATTATAATTTAAATCATTATAACGAAAAAAATAAATAAAATTATTGTTTTTTTCTATTTGTTGAATTTTTTCTAATTTAAATTTGTTTATGTATTTATTAATCATAATTATACAGAAGAATTTTTATCGATCTACTTCTCCAAAAACAATATCTTGAGTACCTATAATTGTTACTACATCAGCAATCATATGATCTTTACACATAAAATCTAATGCTTGTAAATGTGCAAAACCTGGTGCTTTTATTTTACAACGATAAGGTTTATTAGTACCATCAGAAACTAAAAATACACCAAATTCACCTTTAGGCGCTTCTATTACAGTAAAAGTTTCACCACTATTTACAGTTATATTTTCTGAATAATATTTAAAATGATGTATTAAAGATTCCATAGATTGTTTTATTTGAACTCTATTTGGACTTGATATTTTTTTATCATCTATTTTAATAGGACCTTCAGGCATTTGATTTAAAGTTTGTAAAATAATATTTATAGATTGTCGCATTTCTTCAATACGAATTAAATAACGATCATAACAATCACCATTAGTACCTATAGGTATTGAAAAATCTAATTGATCATAAATTTCATATGGTTGGGTTTTACGTAAATCCCAAGAAATTCCTGAACCTCTTAACATAACACCACTAAAACCTAAATCTAAAGCATCTTTTGCTTTAACAATACCAATATCTACTAAACGTTGTTTCCAAATACGATTTCCAGTTAACATTTCTTCAAATTCATCTAATCTTGTTGGAAATTGATTACAAAAAATAAAAATATCATTTAGTAAACCTAAAGGTAAATCTTGATGAACACCTCCTGGTCTAAAATAACTAGAGTGCATACGAGCTCCAGAAACTCTTTCATAAAATTCCATTAATTTTTCACGTTCTTCAAATCCCCAAAAAAAAGGAGTCATAGCACCTACGTCTAACGCATGACAAGTAATTGCTAATAAATGATTTAAAATTCTAGTAATTTCTGAAAATAAAACGCGAATATATTTTGCTCTTAAAGGAATATTACAATTTAATAATTTTTCAACAGCTAATACATAAGCATGTTCTTGAGACATCATAGATACATAATCTAAACGATCAAAATAAGGTAGTGCTTGTAAATAATTTTTATATTCGATTAATTTTTCAGTACCACGATGTAATAAACCTATGTGTGGATCTGCTTTTTGTACAATTTCACCATTTAATTCTAAAATTAAACGTAATACACCATGTGCCGCAGGATGTTGCGGTCCAAAATTGATTGAAAAATTTTTAATTTTTTTTAAAGACATTTTTTTTTTTTTTTTTAAACAAAAAACATTATATATTTTTTTATATTTTTTTTAAAAAATACTAAAAAAATATAAAAAAAAAATGTATATAAACATCAATTTAAGATGAATTTATTTTTATATTTATATAATATATTTTAAATATAATTAATTTTTTACAATTAATTATATTTAAAAAATTCATCAACTAATTTTAAATCTAAATCAAATGGATATTTAATTTCTTTAAATAAAGGTTGTCTTAAAAAAATACATATATTATATTTATTATTAAATTGTATATAATTTACTTTATTTTTACGAATAGTTTTAATTAATTCATAAGATTTTTGAAAATTTTTTTTTTTTTTTAAATAATAGAATTTTTTTAAAATTTTAAAGTTATTTAATGTTATAATATCCCCTCTTTTTAAAATATAATTAGAAGAAGTTATTATTTTATTATTTACTTTTATTTTACCATGATTAATTATTTGTTTTGCTTCAAAAAATTGTTTTGGCAATTTTTGATCTAAAAACAATCATATCTAAGCGACTTTCTAAAACAATAATAAATTTATGTATAATATTATTATTATTATTTCTATTTTTCAAATAATTAAATAAATTTTTTAATTGATATTCAGGAATACAACCGTAAAAATTTTTAAATTGTTGTTTTGCAAATAATCTTTCTTTATATAATTTTTGTTTTTTTTCAGGTCTTTTAAATTGATTAATTTTTTTTAATAAAGATAAAATAGAAGTATTATTATTTGGTTTATAACTAGTTTTAAAAGCTTTTTTTAATTCTTTTTTCATTTTTACTTGAAATTTTATAAAATCAAGTTTACGTGTTTTTCTAAAAATATTATTTTTTAAAAGTTGCCATTTTTTTTTTTTTAATTTTGTTATATTTAAATTTGCATGAATATTTTTATTATTTTGAAAACAAATTTTATTACGTGGTCTTAATTTATTCATTTATTTTAAAAAAGTTTTTCTTATTAAATATATTAAAAAAAATAAAGATTTTAAATTTTTTGTATTTGAAAAAATTGGATAATTTATATAATCTATGTTTGAATTAGTATTATTTAAAGTAATTATAGGTATATTTTTATGATTAAATTCTGTTAATAAATAATTTTCTTTAGTTTTTGATTTTAATAAAATAATTAAATTAATTTTATTATGTTTTAAAAAATTTGAAACAGTTTTATTTGTTAATAAACCATTAATCCAAATATCATTTTTTAAAATTATATTTTTATTTTTTTGAGTAAAATTGATTTTTTTTGATTCAGATAATAAAAATTTAATATCAAAAGAATCTCCAATTATTAATATTTTTTTATTTTTTTTTATACATAATTTAATTAAAAATAATGCTTTTTGTAAAAAAAAAATAGTTGCTTTTAAATTAATAATTGAATAATTATGTCGAAAACCATAAATAAAAGGTAAATTTTTTTTTTTAGTTTCTTTTAAAGACTCACCATAAAAGTTTTTTGATTTAAATAAAGAATTAAGTAAATATTCTTTTTGTATTTTTTTAATTTTTATTTTTTTATTAATCATTTTTTATTATTTTTTACTTTTTTTTCCTTCTTTTAAAATAATTACTTCATTTTTTAATAATAAACCTTTTCCTTTGTAAGGTTCAGGTTTTTTGAAATTTTTTATATAATGTACATATTTAGTTAAAAAAATCCAATCATTACTACTAAAAATTAATTTATTTGTTTGATTTATTATTTTTATATTTTCTGGTATTTCAACAGTAATTGAATGACTATAACCCAATTTTAATATTAAATTTTTTTCTTCAATAAAAGCTTTAAAACCTAAACCTTTTAAAAATAAATTTAATTTAAATCCTTGTAAAATACCTTTTATTTTTAATTTTATTAAAGATTTATATAAATTTAAAAAACTTTTTTTTTTTCTTTTTAAATGTAAACTATTAAAACTTAATAATATATTATTATTTTTAATAAAATAATTTAAAGAATTCATTATATTTAAATCAATTGAACCTAAAGGTCCTTGTAAAATTAATTGATTTTTTTTTAAAACTATATTTATATTTTTTGGTATTCTAATTTTTTCATGTATATTAAAAATATCTAAAGAACCTAAGGAACTTTTAAAAAAAATTAATTGATTTTTTTTTTGATTTTTTTTTAAAATTTTAATCATATTTTTGATATTGAAATTTATTTTATTTAAAGTTTAAATTAATATATATTACATATTAATTCTCCACCTAAATTTAGTTTTTTTGCTTGCAAATCAGTAACTACACCGTAAGATGTAGATAATATATATATACCTTTTTTTTTGATTTTAAATAAATCTTTATTTTTAATATATATACGTTTACTTGGTTTAGAAATTCTAATAATTTTAGAGATTATTGATATATTATTTTTATATTTTAAATATATGTAAATAATATTTTTTTTTTTAGAAACTTTATAACTTTTAATTAAACCTTCTTTAATTAATATATTTAATATATTTATAATTTGTTTAGATTTATATTGAGTTATTTTATATTTTTTAGCTAAAAATCCATTTTTTATTTTTGAAAAAAAATTTGAAAGAGTATCTGTAATAATCATTATAGAGTTAAATTATATAATTTTTTTTACCAGTTATATTTAGAAATTCCAGGTAAAAATCCAGTTGAAGCTAGTTTACGTAATTGTAAACGAGATATTTTAAAAAATCTATAAACACTTCGTGATCTACCAGTTAATATACAAATATTTTTAATTCGAGTTAGAGACGAATTTCTATCAAAATTAAACCATTTCTGTTCAATTTTCCATCGAATTATTTTTTTTAAATTAAAATTATTTGCAATGATTTTTATAATTAATCTTTTTTTTTCTAAATTTTTAAATAATAATCTTTGTTTTATATTTTTTTTTATCTTTTTTTGCATAATATTTAATTTTTGGAGATAATCGGACTCGAACCGATAACAGTATATTTGCAAAACATAAATTCTACCAATTGAATTATATCCCCTTTTTAATTAAGTGTATTGGGACTCGAACCCAAGACCATCGGATTAAAAGTCCGGTGCTCTAACCAACTGAGCTATACACTTTAATTATTTAATTTATATATAAAAAATATTTATTATAAATATTTTTTAGATAATATAAATTTTTTATTAAATAAATTTTTTATTTTATTTACATAAACTAAATTTATTAATGAATTTTTTAATAAATATTCATTTTTATAAATATTGTAATTTAAAATATTTTGACTTAAAGTAGTTTCATAATAATTACTAAAATCTTTAAATAAATTAGTATATGAAATTTGTTTATTTTTAATTTCTAAATTTAATAAAGTTTTTTCGTTTATTTTTGAATTAATATATTTTTTTCTAAATTTAATGTTAGAAGAAATTGTAGGTAATAAAAAATATGAAATAAAAAAATAAAAATTAAAGAAAAAAAATAAAAAGAAAGCTACTTGATTCAAAAATGAAAACTGATCGAATTGAGGCATATTTTTGTTTTATTATTTTATTTTATTAAACTGAAAATTTTTTAAAATTTTTAAAATTATCTAAATTTTTAAAATTCTTAAAATTATTTAATTTTTCAGTTTTTTTAAAATCATTAATTACATTTATTCGTGAAAAATTAAATATCAATTTATTTTGTTTAAATTTATTATTATAATAAAAAAATTGATTTTTTTTTTTTAATTTTTTTTATTGATCTTAAATTTTTTTTTTGATTTTAAATCTTTTTTTTAAATAAGAATTATATATTTTTTTTTTTTTTTTATTGTTTATATATAAATACTTAGATTTTATTTTAAAAATTAAACCACAAAAAGCAATTAAACTATATTTTTTTTTATAAGTTTTTAAAATATGACTTTTAATATATGGTAAATTTATTTTAATTTTTTTTTTATAATATATTTTAAATTTATCATTTGTATTATTTTTAATAATAAATTTAGTTATTTTAAATTTACGTTTATTAAATTTTTTAAATATAAAATTTATATAAAAATTAAAAAAAAATGAATTAATAATTTCAGTATTAATAACCATATCATTAACCATTTTTTTTTTATGATTTTGTATAAAATATACTAAATTATTTTTATTTTCAGTATATAAATTATTTTTATTTATAATAGGAAAAAAATAATTTTCTTTTAAATTTATATTTAATAAATATAAATCATCAATTTTTAGTAAAAGTATATCTTTTAATAAAGTTTTATTTTTATTTTTAAATTTATTAAAAAAATTTAAATCTTTTAAATAATATTGATAAGTATCTAAATAGTTAGTAGTAGTAATATTTAATATAGATTTTTTTTTTAATATTTGCATTAATATTTTAATAAATTAAATAATAAATAATTATATAGGCTTAGTAGGACTTGAACCTACAACTCTACCGTTATGAGCGGTATGCTCTAACCAATTAAACTATAAGCCCGTTTTTATTTATTAGTTATTAATTATTTATAAATAAATTTAGTAGCTACAGGTAATTTAGTAGCACCTGCTTGGAAAACTTTCTGAGCATTTTCATAAGAAATACCGCTTATTTCAAACAAAATTTGACCGCTTTTTATTTTAGCAACCCAAAAAGATACAGCTCCTTTACCTTTACCCATACGATTTTCATTTGGTTTTGAAGTTACAGGAGTATCAGGAAAAATACGAATCCATAAATAACCTAAACGTTTCATTTTTCTAACGATAACTCTTCTAGTAGCTTCTATTTGTTTTGAAGTAATTCTTTTCTCTTCTAAACTTTTTAAAGCATATTTTCCATAAATAATTTGACTTCCTCTAGTTGTTTGTCCTTTAAGAGTACCTTTAAATTGTTTTTTATATTTAGTTCTATTAGGAAATAACATAATTTTTTAAATATTTAATATACTTTTACTTTTATTTTTTAGATAAATTAAAAGTATATTTATTTTTTTGTTGTTTATTTTTAAAATTTAACATTTTTTTTGAATTATTTTTAAAATGTCCTTTTATTTTTTTAAGTTTTACTAATTTATTTAATTTAGTAGTATCTTTTAAATAAAACCACATTTTAACACTACAAACACCTGATTTTGTAATAAATTCATCAAAAGTATATTGTATATTTTTATCTAAACTACTTAAAGGAATACGTCCTTCTTGATAAACTAATTTTCGTTTACGTTTAGCACCATTTACTCTACCTTTTACTTGTAATTTATATCCTAATATTTTCGAATTCATTTTAAAATATTCTTTTAAAATTCTATTAATAAAATTTAAATAACCTCTATGTATTTTTTTTTTTTTAATAGTTCGAACAATATATTTAGAAATAATATTCATTTTACCTAAAGTAAAAGCAATTTGACATATACTTAAAAATTTTAATATTTTTTTATCTTTAAGTCTACGTCTTTTTTTTTTTAAATATTTATAAATATAAAATCTTAAATTTTTTTGATAATTATTTAATTTAAAATGTGCTTTTAAAAAAAAAAGTTTTATATTGTATTTATTATTTAAATACGAATTTAAATGAAATAATATATTTGATTGTTTTTTTAAAATTTCTTTTTTAAAAGTATTATGTACAAAAACATAAATATATAAATTTTTAGAAACTTTATTTATTTTTATTTGTAAAGTTGATATTTTTTTATTATTTAATAATGTTTCTATATATTTTCGTAATTCTAAATCAAAATGTAATATTTCAGCATAGTTTTTTTTTTCAACTATCCATTGTGAATGCCAATTTTTTCTATTTTTTAATCTTAAACTAATTGGTATAATTTTTTGACCCATTTATCTTTTTTTTTTAGCTTTTTTATATATATATCTTTTTCTAGTATTTATAAATTCACCAAATTTATAGCCTAACATATCTTTTACAATTTTTAATTTTATAAAGTTTTGGCCATTATAAACATTAAAAGTTAAATCAATATCTTGAGGCATTATAACTAGATTTTTATTAAAAATTTTAATCCATTTTTTTTGATTATTTATTAAATTATATTTAAAAAAAGGAGATTTTTTACTATTTCTTGACATTTTTTTTTTTTCTAAACTCTAAAATAAATTGATTTAATTTTTTTTTAGATCGGGTAGGTTTACCTTTAGTTATTTTACCTTGAGGTGATACTGAAGGTCTACCACCGCTGGTTTTACCTTCACCACCACCATGTGGGTGATCTACAGGATTCATAGCTACTCCTCGTACATGTGGTCTTCTATTTAACCAACGAGCTCTTCCAGCTTTACCTAATTTTATTTTTTTATGATTAACATTAGATACTATACCTAAAGTTGCATAACAAGTTAATAATATTAAACGTAATTCACCTGAATTTAAGCGTATTTTAGCATAATTATTTGATAATTTTTGTAATAATTGTGCTGAAGTACCTGCACTTCTTATTAATTTTCCTTTTGAAAAAGGATTTAAACTTATATTATGTATTGTACTACCAATAGGTATATTTAATAAAGGTAATGCATTTCCTATTTTTAATTCAGAATTAGGTCCACTTTGAATATGATCATTTACTTTTAAACCTTCAGGTGCTAAAATATAAAAATTTTGATTTTTTTTTTCATTAAAAACATTTGCGATATTAGCAGATCTATTTGGATCATAACATATTGCTTGAACAATACCTTCAGTGTTAATTCTATTAAATTGAATATTACGATATAAACGTTTATGACCTCCCCCACGATGTCTAACGGTTATTTTACCTTGATTATTTCTACCATTAGATCGTTGAAAACCTTTTATTAATTTTTTAATTGGTAATTTTTTTGTTAAGTTATTTATAAATAAAACTGTTTGACGTTGTGATGAAGTAATAGGTTTTATTATTTTTTGTATCATTTTTTAAAAAAAAATATATTGTATATAGATAAAATTATTTTTATTATGTTATATATTTTTGATAAAGCAATTTCAAATTCTAATAGTATTTTATATTCATTAACTATTTTATATGGTATTAATAAATTTCAATCAAAAAGAATTTGTAAAAATATTGGAATTAATCCTCAAACAACTATTAATAAATTAAAAAAAAATCAATTAAACCGTTTAATAAATTATATAAATAAAAATATAAAAATTGAACAATTATTAAAAAAAATTAAAAAAGATAATTTTAATAATTTATTAAATATTAAAACTAATAGAGGTATTAGACATAATTTAGGATTACCTGTACGTGGACAACGTACACATACTAATGCTAAAACTTCTAAAAAATTAAAAAATACTATTTAAATGATAAAAAAAAAAATTAAAATTAATAAAATATTAATAGCACATTTATATATAAATTGTGCTTTAAAAAATACTATATTAAGCTTAACTAATGAAAAAGGTCAATTATATAAACAATGGTCTAGTAAATCTTTAAAAAAAACATCAAATTTAAAAAAAAATTCTCCATATAATATACATTTTATTAGTTATAAAGCTAAAAAATTCCTTATTTCTAAAAAGATATATTGTTTAAAAATTTTTATTAAAGGTAGAGGACCTGGTCGATATAATGTAATTAAAAATTTAATTTCTAAAAAAATTAAAATAATTTTTATTCAAGATAAGACTAATTTACCTTTTAATGGTTGTCGTTCTCCAAAACAAAAAAGACGTTAAAATTTAAATATGGATAGATGGCTGAGTGGTTTAAAGTATCAGTCTTGAAAACTGAAGTATATGTTAATATACCGTGGGTTCAAATCCCACTCTATCCTTAAATTATTATTTAAAAGCTAGAGACGGATTTGAACCGTCATTAAAGGATTTGCAGTCCTTTACATTACCATTATGTTATCTAGCCATTTTTATTATTTATTAAAATTATGTTTAAAAAAAAAGAAAATTTTTTTAATTATCAAAATAAAATAATATTAAAAAACGGAGCTGTATTACGTATAAGCTCTGTTAAATATATAAAAAATATGGAGCTTAATAAATCTTTTTTAAAAGATTTTAATAAAATTGAAAATAAAATTATTGTTAAAGAGAATAATTTTTTAAAAAAATTAAAAAAATAATTATTATTTTTTATATATTTTTAATATATATGAAATATAAATATAAATTTCTATTATAATTAAAATTGATAAAAAATATAACACTTGATTAATTAAATCTAAAGGTATTATTAAAAAAGTAATTAATAATAATAAGAAATAAAATATATTTCTATTTTTTATTAAAATTTCAATATTAATAACATTATAAATTATTAAAAAATAAAATATAAATAAACATATAAATATTATATATATATATATAAAGAATGTAAAAATAAATAAAAAATAATCATATAATTTAGGTTCTAAATAAATATTAAATATATAATTATTTAAATAATTTATATTATAAAAGTATAACCAAAGATTTGGTATAATTGTTATAAAACATATATATATGAAATTAAAATTTAATATATAAAATAAAAAAAAAAAATTTAATAATTTAATATTTTCTTTTTTATTTAATCCTTGTAATAAAAAAAACCATAATTGTATTAAAATAAATGGAATACTAATAAGTATTGTAAAAAAAAAAGATAAATAAAAATTTAAAATAAAAATATCTGTTATTTCAGTATAAATAAAATATTTTAAATGAGTAATATTTAATAAAGGTTTTATAAATATATATATTAATTGATCTGTAAAAAAAGAACAATTTAAAAAAATAAATAAAAAAGAAAAACTAAAAATAATTAAATTATATTTTAATTCTAAAAAATGTAATTTTAAATATGAAATTGAATTATTCATTAAAAAAAAAGCCTACTTGGTGAAATTGGTAAACACGTTAGATTTAAAATCTGATCCTATTTAAAAAGGTTATTGGTTCAAGTCCAATAGTAGGTATTAATATATTTATTATATCAGAGTAGTGGAATTGGTAGACACGTTACACTTAGGATGTAAAATTTAAGGGTTCGAGTCCCTTCTTTGATAAATTTAATCTATATACAATGTTTTTAAAGGCGAAATAAAGTAAAGGTAACTTCTCAGGCTCATGATCTGAATATGTAGGTTCGAATCCTGCTTTTGCCATGAAATATATATAAAATTCTTTTTTATTATGATACATATACAAACAAAATTAAAAATAAAAGACAATACTGGAGTAAAAATAGGACAATGTATAAAAATTTATAAAAAAGCTACTGGTACTATAGGTGATACTATTTTAATATCAGTTAAAAATTTACGTTTAAATAAAAAAAAAAAAATTAAAATAACTAAAGGTGATTTATTAAAAGCTTTAATTATTCAAACTAAATATTCTGTTAAAAATACTATAGGTAATTATATTAAATTTGATAATAATTGTGCAGTTATTTTAAATAATCAAAATAAATTAATGGGGACTCGTATTTTAGGACCAATCACTTCTGAATTTAGAAAAAAAAAACAATTTAAAATTCTTTCTTTAGCTTCTAATATTTTATAATAAAAATGAATCACTTAAAACATCATTATAATCATAATATAACTTATGATTTAATTCAAAAATTAAATTTTAATAATATTTTTAAAATACCTACAATTAATAAAATTATATTAAATATAGGTTTAAAAAATTCGAATATGGAAAAAAAAAAAATGATATCTATTGTTTTATTATTACGTTTAATAATAAATCAACAGATTTTAAATACTAAATCAAAAAAAAATAATATAATTTTTAAAATTAAAAAAGGTGATATTATGGGTTGTAAAATAACATTAAGAAAACAAAATATTTATATTTTTTTAGAAAAAATTATTATTTTTGTATTACCAAATATTAAAGATTTTAAAGGTATTTATGTTAATAAAAAATCTACAAATATTTTAAATTTTAAAATCAAAAATATTTTAAATTTTTTTGAATTAGAAAAAGAATTTTTAAAATTTCAAAATTTACCTTTTATTGATATAAGTATTCATACTACTTGTAAATCATATAAATATTTATATTTATTATTAAATCAATTTAATATACCTATAATTGATAAAAAATAATTGCGAAAATAACTCAATTGGTAGAGTATAATCTTGCCAAGATTAAGGTCGCGGGTTCGAATCCCGTTTTTCGCTTTTATTTTTTTTAAGAAGAAATGGCTGAGTGGTTTAAGGCGGTAGACTGTAAATCTATTAGATATTCTATCATAGGTTCGAATCCTATTTTCTTCAAAATCTTCAATAACTCAATTGGTTAGAGTATAGAGCTGTTAACTCTAAAGTTGTAGGTTCAAGTCCTACTTGGAGAGTTTATTATAAAATAATAATAAATTACTTTATAACTAAAAAAATATTTATTTATATAAAAATATTATAATTTAATATTTTTATATAATTAAGATAATAATATAACTATTTATTACTATAAGTGGCTATAGAATTATCTTACATACTTGAATCTAATATTAAAAATTTTAAAAGTGAAAAAAAATTAGAAGAAACTGGTATAGTTTTATCAATGAGTGATGGTATTGCTCGTTGTTACGGTTTAACTAAAATTCAAGCAGGTGAAATGGTTGAATTTAACAAAGGTAATATTAAAGGTATGGCTTTAAATTTAGAACCTGACGTTGTAGGTGTTGTTGTTTTCAGTAATGAAAGAGAAATTCAAGAAGGTAACTTCGTGAAAAGAACTGGATCTATTGTAAGTGTACCAACTGGTGAAGGTTTATTAGGACGTGTAGTAGATGCTTTAGGTCAACCAATCGATGGAAAAGGTGCTATTAAATCAAATACTTTAAGTAGAGTTGAAATTAAAGCTCCAGGTATTATGCCAAGACAATCTGTAAGTGAACCTGTACAAACTGGTTTAAAAGCTGTAGATAGTTTAATTCCTATTGGTAGAGGTCAACGTGAATTAATTATTGGAGATAGACAAACTGGTAAAACTTCAATTGCTATGGATACAATAATTAATCAAGTTAAAGCACACCAAAGTGGTGATAAAGATAATCAATTATTTTGTATTTACGTAGCTGTAGGTCAAAAAAGATCAACTGTAGCAGATTTAACTAAAACTTTAGAAGAAAAAAATGCTTTATTTTTTTCTATTATTGTAGCAGCAACTGCATCAGATTCAGCTCCATTACAATTTTTAGCTCCATATACCGGTTGTACTTTAGGTGAATATTTTAGAGATAATGGTAAACACGCTGTTATTTTCTATGACGATTTATCTAAACAAGCAGTAGCTTACCGTCAAATGTCTTTATTATTAAGAAGACCTCCAGGTAGAGAAGCTTACCCAGGTGACGTATTCTATTTACACTCTAGATTATTAGAAAGAGCAGCTAAAATGAATATTGCTATAGGTGGTGGATCATTAACTGCATTACCAGTTATTGAAACTCAAGCTGGTGACGTATCTGCTTATATCCCAACTAACGTAATTTCTATTACTGATGGTCAAATTTTCTTAGAAACTGAATTATTCAACCAAGGTCAAAGACCAGCAATTAGTGTTGGTTTATCTGTAAGCCGTGTTGGTTCTTCTGCACAAATTAAAGCTATGAAACAAATTGCAGGTTCAATGAAATTAGAATTAGCACAATTTAGAGAAGTACAAGCTTTCTCTCAATTTGGTTCTGATTTAGATGCAGCTACTCAACAACAATTACATAGAGGAGTACGTTTAACTGAAATGTTAAAACAAGGATTAAACGTACCTTTAAATGTTGAAGATCAAATTGTTATCATTTTTTTAGGTGTTAGAGGTTTCTTAGATAAAATTGAAGTTAAAAAAATCGGACAATTTGAAAATGCTTGGTTACAATTTATTAAAAATAATCATAATGATATTTTAGTAGAAATTGCAACTAAAAAAGAAATTAGTAAAGAATTAGAAGCTAAATTACGTACTTTAGCTAATGATTTTACTAGTCAATTTTTAAATAAATAATACAAATTTTATATTTTTATAATATAAAATTTATATTATTTATAATTAACGTTTGTTTTATATTTTTATTTTATTATTTGATTTAAAACATGAAAAAAATTAATTTTATATAGTAAAATCTATTCTTTTTTATAGATTAGATTTTAATTTCTTTTTAAATTATGATTCTACAATCGATTTTTTATAATAACTTTGAATTATTAATCCCAGAATTTTTTATAACATTAATTATTTTATCTTTTTTATTATTCGGTACTTTTTATAAAAATATTGATAATAAAAAAATATTAATAATAAAAACAATTAATAATTTAATTATTTTTTTATTATTATTTACATTATTATTAATGTTCAATACACAAAATATATCTATGACTTTAATGAATGGAGCTTTATTTATAGATAATTTAACTCAATTTATTAAAAAGTATTTTAATTATTTGTACTATTTTATGTTATATTATTCAAACAAATTATATAATAAAACCAAAAAAATGTTTTCATTTGAAATTAAATATCTAATATTAATTTCTTTATTAAAAAATTAATAAATATATAAAATTTATTTTTAAAATTTGTATATAAAATTTTTTATATGCAATTTTAAAAATATATAAATAAAAAATATTTTAATTTATATTAAATCATTTTTTGTTTTAATTTTATTTATATTTTTATTTTATTAGTATATAATAAATATTTAGATATATTATTTTTTAATTTAAAAAAATTTATAAAATCTGAACCTATTTTAAATTCATGTATAAAAAAAAATTTATTTAAATACTTTGTAATAAAGGGAATTAAAATTTAAATTAAAATATAATTAAATATTATTTACAAAAATATAATTTTATCTATAAATAAAGATAAAGTTAATTATAAACAAAATTTATGTTTGTTTATTTCAATATAAAAAGAAATTAATTTTAAAATTAATTTTAAATTTTTAATAGAGTTTGATCCTGGCTCAGAATAAATGCTATTGGTATGCTTAACACATGCAAGTCGAATGTTTATTTTAATAGACATGGCAGACGGGTGCGTAACACGTGAATTATCTACCCTTTAGTTCAGCATAATTATTTTTTATAAAAATTCTGAATAATAAATAAAGTTTTAAAAACGCTAAAGGATGAGTTTGCGGAAGATTAGGTAGTTGGTAGTATAAGAGACTACCAAGCCGACGATCTTTAGCTGATTTGAAAGAATGATCAGCCACATTGGGACTGAGACACGGCCCAAACTTTTTTAAAGGCAGCAGTGAGGAATATTGGACAATGGGCGAAAGCCTGATCCAGCAATACCAAGTGAGTGAAGAAGGCTAATAGGTTGTAAAGCTCTTTCATTAAGGAAGAAAAAAGACAGTACTTAAAAAAGAAGTTCCGGCTAATTTCGTGCCAGCAGCCGCGGTAATACGAGAGGAGCGAGCATTATTCGAAATGATTAGGCGTAAAGGGTTCGTAGGTTGTTTTTTAAGTTGAAAAAAAAAAATTAAAGCTTAACTTTATTTATTTTTTCAAAACTGATAAACTAGAGTATAAATAGAGGATAATAGAATTCTTATTGTAAGGATAAAATCTTTTAATAATAAGAGGAATTTTCAAGGCGAAGGCAATTATCTGGGTATATACTGACATTGAGGAACGAAAGCTTGGGGAGCGAACGGGATTAGATACCCCGGTAGTCCATGCTGTAAACGATGAGTGCTCATATTTAGAGAAATTTAGATATTTTAAGAAGCTAACGCGATAAGCACTCCGCCTGAAGAGTATAATCGCAAGATTGAAATTCAAAGGAATTGACGGGAGTCTACACAAGCGGTGGAGCATGTGGTTTAATTCGATAATACGCGCAGAACCTTACCAATTCTTGTAAATATTTTTAAAATATTTTTTAAAAAATACAGGCGTTGCATGGCTGTCGTCAGCTCGTGTTGTGAGATGTTTGGTTTATTCCCTTAACGAGCGAAACCCCTATTTTTAGTTGCTAATTTATATTAAAGATTGACTCTTTTTATAAATGCACTTTAAAAAAAGTTAATGACATATTAATGGAAATGGGGATTACGTCAAGTCTTCATGGCCCTTATGAATTGGGCTACACACGTGCTACAATGATAAATACAATGAGAGGCAATAATAATAAAAAATTGGAGCAAATCTTTAAAATTTATCTTAGTTCGGATTATGGGCTGCAACTCGCCCATATAAAGTTGGAATCGCTAGTAATCGCAAAACAGCATGTTGCGGTGAATATGTTACTAGACTTTGTACACACCGCCCGTCACATCATGGAAGTTAATTCATTTTAAAGCCGTTTATTTGTTTTTTTTTATTTTAAAAAAATAATTTATTAATAAAATTATTTATTAAATGTAATTAATTATATTTAAATTACTAAGAAGGGTTTAGTAACTGTGATGAAGTCGTAACAAGGTAGTCGTAGGGGAACCTGTGGCTGGAAGAGCTCTGATAAAATTATAAAATAAATATTTTTATATTTATATTATTTTTATTTCTTAAAATAATTTATTATTTAATTAAAGTAATTTTTTTGTTTTAATTTTATTTATATTTTTATTTTATTAGTAAAAGTATTAAAGTTACATAAAAAAAGCATAGAGGGGATGCCTAGGCATTAATTAATATTTTTAGGACGTAATAAAAACGAAAAGCTATATGGAATAATAATTTATTTATATATATAGATTTCCTAAAGAAAACTTTTTCTTTGTGAAAATTTTAAACATAGTGAATTGAAATATCTTAGTAACTATTGAAGAAATCAAACGAGATTCCGTAAGTAATGACGAGTGAACATGGAAAATAGGTTATAAAAAAAATTTATATGAAATATGTATATTCCGAAAAATTTGAAAAAATTTACATTAAAAGGTTATAGTCCTGTAGGATGTCATTCATAAAATATTCAATTATTTTATTTTTTTATAAGTAAAAAGAGGTATGTGTAATCTTTTTTGAAGATTGGGGGACCACCCTCAAAACCTATAAAATAATTAATGACCGATAGTGAACAAGTACTGTAAAGGAAAGGTGAAAAAGAGCTTTCGAGTTTGAAATAATTCTGAAACTCTATGCTAATAATCAATTGGAGCTTTTTAATAAAGTGACAATGTACCTTTTGCATAATGGGCCAGCAAGTTTATTTTTTTAGCAAGCTTAATTTATTAATAAAATAGGCGTAGAGAAATCAAGTTTTAAAAAGCTTAAATAAGTTATGAAAATAAGACCCGAAACTGAGTGATCTAATTATGAACAGATTGAAGAATAGGTAAAACTATTTGGAGGATCGAACCCACGTATGTGGCATTATACGGGGATGATTTGTGATTAGGGGTGAAAGGCCAATCAAACTCAGAGATAGCTGGTTTTCCGCGAAATCTATTGAAGTAGAGCATTTAAAAATCTTTTTTTGGGGTAGAGCACTCATTAAGCTAGGGGGGTTAAAACCTTACTGAACTTTTAGAAACTCCGAATACAAAAACAAGTATTTAAATAGACAGACATTGGGCGCTAAGGTCCATTGTCGAGAGGGAAACAGCCCAGATTGAACGCTAAGGTCCTTAAATAATTTTCTAAGTGATAAAGGAAGTGAAAAAATAAAGACAACCAATAGGTAGGCTTGGAAGCAGCCATCCTTTAAAGAAAGCGTAATAGCTCATTGGTCTAGTTTTTTTGCACCGAAAATGTATCGGGACTAAAGAAATTTACCGAAGCGTCAAGTTTACTAAATAATAGTAAACGGTAGCGGAACATTCTGTATGTTGTTAAAGATATGTTGTTAAATATATTGAAGATATCAGAATAGAAAATGCTGGCATTAGTAACAAAAAATAATGACAAGAATCATTATCACCGAAAATCCAAGGGTTTCTATGTTAAGATTAACTACATAGAGTTAGACGGCCCCTAAGCAGAACTTGACGAAAGCAAGCTGTGATGGGAAAATTTTGAAATTAAATTTCTAATAAAAAGTGACAAAATAGTAATATTTTCAAGAAACAACTTTTTTTAATAAATATTTAAAATATAAATAGTGCTAGAATTCTTTTAATAAGAAATAATAAAATAAAAGGCAAGTAATATCTTATTTATTTAAGAAAATAATTATATGTTAAAATAATTATACAGCCCACCTAGCTATAGAAAAACCTTAGTGTTGAGTAACATTTTATATTTTAATATTGAAAACCGTACCCTAAACCAACACAGGTGGATAGGTCGAGTAGACCAAGGTGTATGAGATAATTATGTTGAAGGAACTCGGCAAAATGACTCTGTAACTTCGGGAGAAAGAGTACCTTATATGAATCAACGTTTATATAAGGTGGCACAGAATTGGGGGTTGCGACTGTTTAATAAAAACACAGGACTCTGCTAAATCGTAAGATGATGTATAGGGTCTGACACCTGCCCGGTGCTGGAAGATTAATAGGAGATGTTTACGCATTGAATGAAAGTCCCAGTAAACGGCGGCCGTAACTCTGACGGTCCTAAGGTAGCGAAATTCCTTGTCGGGTAAGTTCCGACCTGCATGAATGGTGTAACGACATCCCCGCTGTCTCCAACATAAACTCAGTGAATTTGAATTATCCGTGAAGATGCGGATTCTCTATAGTTAGACGGAAAGACCCCGTGAACCTTTACTACATCTTTATACTGTTATCTTATAAAATATGTGTAGAATAAGTGGTAATCTTAGACCTTCACGCCAGTGAATTGTTTAGATTTCTTTGAAATACCACTCTTATTATTATAAATAACTAATATTTTTTTTTAAATAGACCGTGTATGGTTGGTAGTTTGACTGGGGCGGTCACCTCCCAAAGAGTAACGGAGGTGTACAAAGGTAAGCTCAAATTGGCAATATATCAATTGTGGAATGTAATGGTACAAGCTTGCTTGACTGTAAGATAGACATATCAAACAGGGACGAAAGTCGGTCATAGTGAACCGATAATTCTTTGTGGAAAGATTATCGCTCAACGGATAAAAGGTACTCCGGGGATAACAGGCTGATGACTCCTAAGAGCTCCTATCGACGGAGTCGTTTGGCACCTCGATGTCGACTCATCACATCCTGGAGCTGAAGAAGGTTCCAAGGGTTCGGCTGTTCGCCGATTAAAGTGGTACGTGAGTTGGGTTTAGAACGTCGTGAGACAGTTTGGATCCTATCTTCTATAGATATTTTGAAAAATGAAAGACTCTAATTCTAGTACGAGAGGACCGAAGAGGATAAATCTCTGGTGTATCGGTTGTTCTATATGGGCAGCGCCGAGTAGCTAAATTTATATTGGATAATTGCTGAAAGCATCTAAGCAAGAAACCGTTCTTAAAATTTTTTCATAAAATTGTTTTAGACTAAAACTTTGATAGGTGAAAAGTGTAAATATTGTAAAATATGTTAGCTTATTCATACTAATTATTTTTAAAAAATATATTTTTATAATATATTTTTAAATTATATTTTACGTTTTTTAAAAATTATTATAAATAATGTCGAATATTTATTCCCTTTTTGGAAATACCAACTGTTAAATTGGGTACATTATTATTTTATTTATTATTTTTTAAATAATAAATATTTATTTTTTTTTTTTTGAGAAAAAGTTGAAAAATCTTCTTCTTTATCTAATAAATTAACAGTACTATTGAATTTGATATTATAACGTAATTTTTGTATTTCGATATAAGTATCATCTCGTTTAACAATACTTTTACTTTTATTATTAAAAGTACCTAAAATTTCATTAAGAATATTTTTTAAAAAATTTGTTTTACGTTTTCTTGAGAAAGATAATAACCAATTAACAGCATCTTTTACTTGTTTCTCTTTATTTAAAAACATTAAAAAATATTTATTTTTTTTTTTTCGAGTTCTTCTTTTACTTACAGGTACATTTATTAATTTTAATTTTGGAGCTAAAATATCAATGGTTTTTATTAATATAAATAAAGGTTTTTGTTTTGTTTTTTTACGTAATTCAATTAAAATATTATTATAAAGATTTTCAGCAATACTTTTTTTTCCTTTTTTTAATAACATTTTAATAAAAGAATTTCTTATTAAATTATTTTGGTCGTTTAGTTCCATATTTAGATCTTGAAGTTTTTCTTGTTAAAACACCTGTTAAATCATATTTACCTCTAATAATATGATATTTTACACCGGGTAAATCTTGAACTCTACCTCCACGAATTAATACAACAGAGTGTTCTTGTAAAGAATGACCTATTCCAGGTATATAACAAATAACAGAATGTTCATTAGTTAATTTTACTTTAGCAACTTTTCTTAATGCTGAGTTAGGTTTTTTAGGTGTTTTTATATATACTTTAGTACAAACTCCTTTTTTTTGAGGGCATTTTTGAAGTGCTGGACTTTTATTTATTTTTTTTTTTTTTAAACGTTTTTGTTTTTGTAAAAATAATTGATTAATAGTAGTCATAAAAAATGATTTTTATATATATAAATAATGGGTAATAACGGATTCGAACCGCTAACATTTTCGGTGTAAACGAAATACTCTGCCAATTGAGCTAATTACCCTAATATTATGGGCCTAAGTAGATTTGAACTACTGACTTTACACTTATCAGGCGTATACTCTAACCAACTGAGTTATAGGCCCTTTTATTGAGTTTTAGAGTAAAAGGATTCGAACCTCTGATTTTCCATACCAAAAACGGATGCCTTACCACTTGGCCATACTCTAAAAATATGCTTAGAAAGATTTGAACTTTCATCTAATAGATCCGCAATCTACGGCTTTATCCTATTAAGCTATAAGCATATTTAATTTTTTTTAATTTTTGTTTTTAATAATACATTTTGAGGAATTATTTTTTTAATAATTATTAAAAAATAAATTAAAATGTATAAATTTTCATTTAATATATGAAAAGTTTGTTTATAATAATTATAATTAAAGTGTTCTCTTGATTTTTTATATACATGTGGAGATCTAAGTACAGTATATATAGTATTTTTTTTTTTTTGAGATATATTTCCTTTTATTATTATATTTTTATTTTTTAAAAATTGTTGGATTTTAAATAAATATGTTTTAATATTTTTTAAATTTTGTAAAGATTTAATTGTTAATTTTAAAGTATACATTTGATAATATATATAATTTGTCTAGAGGCGGACTCGAACCACCGACACAAAGATTTTCAGTCTTTTACTCTAACCAACTGAGCTATCTAAACTTTATAATATTTATATTAATAAATATAAATATAATTTATTTAAATTAATTAATATAATATTTGGATATAAAAAAAATAATAATAAAAATTGAGTATTAATTACTAATATAATACTATTTAATTTAGTTATTTGATTTACAAATAATTTTTTTGATATTTTTTCAAAAAATATAATTTTTATCATTCTTAAATAATAAAAAGAACTTAATATACTTACTAAAATACTAAAAAATATTAAACCAAAATATTGTGCTTTTATTGCAGTAATAAATAAAAATAATTTTGAAAAAAAACCAGCTAATGGTGGAATTCCCGACATTGAAAAAACATTTAAAACAATAATAAAAGCTAAAATTTTATTAAAATTATAAAGATTTGATAAATCAGTTAAATATTTAATAGGTTTTTTATTTATAATTAAAGATAAATATGAAGTCCATAAATTTATACTCATAATTATATAAACTACAATATATAATAAAATATAAGGAATAGATTCTAATAAATTAGAAGTAAAACCTATTAAAATAAAACCTACGTGACTTATAGAACTATAAGCTAATAATCTTTTAATTTTTTTTTGTTGTAATGCAGCTAAAGAACCTATAAACATAGAAGAAATAGCACTTATATAAAAAATAATTTCAAAAAAAGAAGAAATATCTATTAAAATATCAAAAACAAATCTAATTAAAATACCTATAAAAGCAATTTTAGGTACAATTGCAAAAAAAGCTGTTACATTATTAGGAGCACCTTCATAAACATCTGGTAACCAAAAATGAAAAGGAGCAGCACCTATTTTAAAAAATAGTCCGATAAAAATAAATAAAAAACCATTTAAAGCGCCTATTATTAAATCAATATTTTCAATATAATAAACATTAGATAATATTAAAAAAATATTTCCAAAATTTAATGAACCAAAAACACCATAAATTAAAGAAGAACCAAATAAAATAAAACTAGAAGCTATTGATCCTAAAATAAAATATTTTAAAGCAGCTTCTACGGCTAAAGGTGATTTACGTTTAGATGCAGTTAATATATAAAAAGATAAACTTTGTAATTCTACAGCTAAATATAAGGTAATAAAATTAAAAGATGATACTAATAACATTAAACCTAATAAAGAAATTAATATTAGAATATTAATTTCAAATGAAAACATTTTTTGTTTTATTATATAATTTGTTTGAATAATATAACATAAAATAGTACAAATAATTAAAATACTTTTAATAAATTGAGTTAAATTATCTATAAATAAAGCTCCATTCATTAAAGTCATAGATATATTTTGTGTATTGAACATTAATAATAATGTAAATAATAATAAAAAAATAATTAAATTATTAATTGTTTTTATTATTAATATTTTTTTATTATCAATATTTTTATAAAAAGTACCGAATAATAAAAAAGATAAAATAATTAATGTTATAAAAAATTCTGGGATTAATAATTCAAAGTTATTATAAAAAATCGATTGTAGAATCATAATTTAAAAAGAAATTAAAATCTAATCTATAAAAAAGAATAGATTTTACTATATAAAATTAATTTTTTCATGTTTTAAATCAAATAATAAAATAAAAATATAAAACAAACGTTAATTATAAATAATATAAATTTTATATTATAAAAATATAAAATTTGTATTATTCGTTTTTTAAAACTTTATTTATTATTCAGAATTTTTTATTAAAAAAATAATTATGCTGAACTAAAGGGTAGATAATTCACGTGTTACGCACCCGTCTGCCATGTCTATTAAAATAAACATTCGACTTGCATGTGTTAAGCATACCAATAGCATTTATTCTGAGCCAGGATCAAACTCTATTAAAAATTTAAAATTAATTTTAAAATTAATTTCTTTTTTATATTGAAATAAACAAACATAAATTTTTGTTTATAATTAACTTTATCTTTATTTATAGATAAAATTATATTTTTTGTAAATAATATTTAATTATATTTTAATTTAAATTTTAATTCCCTTTATTACAAAGTATTTAAATAAATTTTTTTTTTTATACATGAATTTAAAATAGGTTCAGATTTTATAAATTTTTTTAAATTAAAAAATAATATATCTAAATATTTATTATATACTAATAAAATAAAAATATAAATAAAATTAAAACAAAAAATGATTTAATATAAATTAAAATATTTTTTATTTATATATTTTTAAAATTGCATATAAAAAATTTTATATACAAATTTTAAAAATAAATTTTATATATTTATTAATTTTTTTTTAAGAAAAAAAAGAAATAAATATTAAAAAAATGAAATTTAAAATATTAATATATACTGAAAGTAATAATAAACCTATAAATAAAATTAAACTTAAAAAGATTAATAATGAATAATGGTAAATATATCCTGTTTGTAAATAAGTAATTTTTTTACTCCAATTTGAAAATAAATGTAATAAACCGTATGGACCGAAAAATTCTATAATACCTTTATCGATTAATTTATAAGTAGTACTATAACTTACTTGTAATATATTTTGATTTATAAATTCATAATAAATTTTATCAAAAAACCATTTTTTATTTAAAAAATTATAAAAAAATAATCCAAATTTAGATATTTTTAATTCATAAAAAAATTTAAAATTAAAATGGTATAAAACAAAAGCTAATGATAAACCTAACATACTAAAAATAACAGGTAAAAGTTTAAAAATTGTAGGTAAAAATTCTGCATCAATCATTTGAATATTTTGAGGGTGTATATATATAGCATTATTCCAAAAATGTGAACCTAGACCTATAAACATATCTTTTGTTAAATAACCTATAAAAATACTACCTAAAGCTAAAATACCTAAAGGTAAAGCCATACGTAATGGTGCATCATGAGCATGAAGAATTACATTTTTATGAGCATTAGTTTCACTTAAAAAAGTAAAATATAATAAACGTGTTGAATAAAAAGCAGTAAAACTAGCACCAATTGTACCTAACCAATAAGCAAAATGTCCAACTTCATTAAAACTTGCAAAAGCAATTTCTAATATAACATCTTTTGAATAAAAACCAGTTAAAAAAGGAAATCCCATTAAAGCTAATGAACCTATTAAAAACATTACATAGGTGTAAGGTAATATTCTTCTTAATCCACCCATTTTCCTGATATCTTGTTCATCACCCATAGCATGAATAACTGAACCTGCTCCTAAAAATAATAAAGCTTTAAAACAAGCGTGATTTGATAAGTGAAATACCCCTAAAGAATAGTTAGATAAACCACAAGCAAAAAACATATAACCTAGCTGACTACAAGTTGAATAAGCAATTATTTTTTTCATATCATTTTGAACTAAACCAACAGTACTAGCAAAAAATGCAGTTAAAGCTCCAATTATAGTAATAATTTTTAAAGTTAAAACTGAATATTCAAATATAGGTGAACATCTAGCTACTAAATAAACACCAGCTGTAACCATTGTAGCTGCATGTATTAATGCAGATACTGGAGTAGGTCCTTCCATAGCATCAGGTAACCAAATATGTAAAAATATTTGAGCTGATTTACCCATAGCACCTATAAAAATTAAAATACACATGATATCAATAATAGACCAATTATAATTTAAAAATAAAAAAGTATAATTTTCTAAAATCGAAATAGTTGCAAAAGCACTAAAATATTCTACAGTTTTTAAATTAGTAAATAAAATTAAAATACCTAAAACTAATACTAGATCACTAATTCTGTTAACAATCATAGCTTTAATTGCGGCTTTATTTGCTTGTAAACGTGTAAACCAAAAATTAATTAATAAATAAGAACATAAACCTACACCTTCCCAACCTACAAACATTTGAATAAAATTATCACCAGTTACTAATATAACCATAAAAAAAGTGAATAAAGATAAATATGACATAAATCTTGATAAATGTGGATCATGACCCATATATTCACTTGAATATAAATGTACTAATACAGAAACACCTGTTACTACAGTTAACATAACATAAGTTAAAGTATCAAAAAAAAAAGCCCAATTACAATAAAAAAGTCCACTTGAAATCCAAGTAGTTACAATTAAATGTGTATTTAATGCAAAAGTCATTGAATTATTAAACATGACTAAAGATAATATAAAAGTTAAAAAAACACTAAGAGTTGTAATAACGGCAGACCCTTTATTACCAATCCATTTTCCAAAAAGACCTCCAAAAATAGCTCCTAATAAAGGTAAAAAAATAATAGCTAAAGAATACATAAAGTTTTTATTGAAATTAAATTATAAAGATAAAATATGGATTTTATATATAGAAATATTACCATGAATATTAAAAAATAAAACCATCAATGCTAAACCAATAGCAGATTCAGCCGAAGCTACAGTTAAAATAATTAGAGAAAATATTTGTCCCATAATATCATCTAAAAAAACAGAAAAATATACGAAATTTAGATTTATAGATAATAAAACTAATTCAATTGACATAAGTATAATAAGAATATTTTGTCTATTAAGGATAATACCTAATAAACCTAGACAAAATAAAATAAAATTAATTAAAATATTATTAAATAAAAACATTTTTAAAATTATAAAAAATAATATATAAAATATATATATTATTTAAAAGTTAAATTAACCAATTAAAACTTAATAATATACTACAAGTTAAAATAAACCAACCTAAAGTAAAAGGTAAAAAAACTTTCCAACCTAAACGCATTAATTGATCATAACGATATCTTGGTAATATAGCACGAGCTAAAACGAATAAAATAACAAAAAAAGATACTTTTAAACCAAACCAGAATGGACCTGGGATAAAATTTAAATATAATGGAGCTAACCAACCACCTAAAAATAAAATAGTATTTAAACTACTCATTAAAAGCATATTTGCATATTCACCTAAAAAGAATAAAGCAAAACCCATAGCCGAATATTCAACATTATAACCTGAAACCAATTCGGCTTCAGCTTCTGGTAAATCAAAAGGGTGTCTATTTGTTTCAGCTAATGATGAAATAAAAAAAATAATAAAAATCGGAAATAAAGGTACACAATACCATATTTTTTCTTGACATAAAACTATATCAATTAAATTTAAAGATTGAGTACATACTATAACAGATAATATTGAAAAACCTATAGTTAATTCATAAGAAACCATTTGAGCTGATGATCTTAAAGCACCTAAAAAAGCATATTTTGAGTTACTAGACCAACCAGCAATAATTATACCATAAACACCTAATGATGATATAGCTAATAAATATAAAATTCCTATATTTAATTCAGCATAAGACATACCTTTACCAAAAGGTATTACCACCCAACTTAATAAACTTAAAAAAAAAGTTAATATAGGGGCAAAAATAAAAAGTACCACATCACAATTACTAGGTAAAACAGTTTCTTTTACAAAAAGTTTTAACCCATCAGCAAGTGGTTGTAATAAACCAAAAGTACCTACAACATTAGGACCTTTACGTCTTTGTATTGAAGATAAGATTTTTCTTTCGGCTAGAGTGAAGTACGCTACGGAAATTAATAGCGGAAGAATCAAGGCAATAGTTTTAAGAATTATATTAAACATATTAAGATTTTTATGAAAAAAAATAATTTATATATTAACAATAATTAATTATTGTTAATATATTTTATTAAAATTTTTTCCTTATACAATAATTTTTTTTTTATTTTTAATACATAAAAAATTATTAAATTTAATTATTAAATATTTTATTAAAAAATATTTGTTTTTTTTTTTAAAATAACTTTAGATTGAGTTAATATTTTTGAATGATTTTCTAAAATATTTTCAATATATAATTTTTTTTTTAAATTAAACATTTTATATTTTTTAATTTGTTTTATTTTAATAGTATTTTTTTTATATAAATTAACAATATGTAATTTAGATTTATATAAATAAGAATAAACATTATTAAATTCTAAAAATAAATTTTTTTTGTTATCTTTTTGATTTTTTTTCTTTAAAAAAATATATAAAAATTTAAATATATTATTATCTGATTTTTGTAAAGATTTAACTTTTAATATTGTATTATTTTTTTGAATTAAACCTTCAGTATTAATATATAAACCTTCTTTTTCTAAAAAAGTTAAACCTGGTAAAATTAAATTCGATTTTTGTGCATCTATATTAAAATGATGTCCTTGATAAATATAATAATTATTTTTATTATCATCTTTTAAATTTTTATAAAAATCAGTATTATATAAATAAAATAAATTAGTTTTGATATTTTCAAAATTATATTTCTTATTAAATATTTCAAGAAAATTTAAATACGAAGTTTGAGTTTGTAAAATATTAAAATTTTTTCCATTTAAAAATGATAAATTTTTGAATTTATTTAAAATAAAAGCAGCTTCTTTGTATTGATAAAAAAAATTACTACCTATAATTATTGTAGGATTTTTAGCTTTTTTTAATTCTTTACAAAAAGTATGTTTACCTTCAATTATTTGTAATAATGTATTAATATTTAAACCTAAATTATCTACAGGATAAGTATAATCATATTTAGGACCTATAGATGCTATTTTAAAATTACCTTTTTGAAATCTATTAATTAAATGTATATTTAATATCGAACCTTCTGAACGTATATCACTATTTAAAATTAAGCATAAATCTGAATTTTCAATATTTTTTAAAGAACTATTAAATAAAAAATTTGAACATAAATCTGAATTAAAAATATTTTCTTTTTTATTTGCATATAAATATGAAATATTATTTATACCTAACTGAGTTAAATTTTTTTTTAATATAAATTGTGATTCAATATCAGTTAAATTACCTACAATACCTTGTATTTGACTAGGATCTCTTTTTGATACTTCATTATTTATAGTTTCAAAAACTTTTTCCCAAGAAATCTCTTTAAAACCTTCAGATGTTTTTATTAAAGGTTTAGTTATTCTTTGATATTTTAAACTATCAAAAAAAAAACGAGTTTTATTATTAATCCATTCTTTATTAATATTAACGTTAGTTTTAGGTAAAATTCTTACAATATTATTTTTTAAAGTATCTATATTTAGATTTGAACCTATTGCGTCTAAAATATCAATACCTTCTTTTTTTGTTAATTCCCAAGATCTAGCTTTAAAAGCATAAGGTTTTGAAGTTAATGCTCCTACCGGACATAGATCAATTAAATTACCTGAAAATTCTGAATAAAATATATTTCTATCATAAAAATTAATTTCTGTTGAATTACCTCTACCAGTAGTACCAAAATGATCATTACGACAAATTTCATCAGCAAATCTAACACATCTAGTACAATGTATACATCTAGTCATAATAGTTTTAATAAAAGGGCCTATATTTTTATCTTCAACGCTTCTTTTTTTATTAAAAAAAAATCGACTTTTATCACTACCAAAAATTAATGTTTGATCTTGTAAATCACATTCTGAAGCTTGATCACAAATAGGACAATCTAAAGGATGATTTATTAAAATAAATTCTAAAACACTTTCACGTGCTTTTTGAACTAAAGGAGTGTTAGTAAATATTTCCATATTTGGCATAACAGGCATAGCACAAGATGCTACAGGTTTAGGTGAATTTTTAATTTCTACTAAACACATTCTACAATTACCTGCAATTTTTAAATTTTCTTGAAAACAAAATTTTGGTATTTGTATATTTAATGAATTACATGCTTGTAACACAGTAATATTTTTTTTTACATGCATTTTTACACCATTTATAATAATAGGTATCATTAGTAAATAAATTATTTTTAAATTTTAAAGATTTATTACGTAAAATTGTACGGGAAAAACGGGACTCGAACCCGCGACCCTTGGCGTGACAAGCCAAAACTCTAACCAACTGAGTTATTTCCCCTTAAATATAAAAATACCCTTTACGGGGTTCGAACCCGTGTTATTGCCGTGAAAAGGCAAGGTCCTGACCACTAGACTAAAAGGGCTTTTGGTATTATAAAATATTAATGTGATTAATGGGATTCGAACCCATAATATTTGCTTGGAAGGCAAAGGATTTACCATTAATCTATAATCACATTTTTTAAATTAATCCCATTCAAGTGCATCACTACACCATACATATATAAAACCTACAACTAATTCAATTAAGAATTCAATCATAGTCCAAAATCCTAATGAAAAATTCGAGCTTAATGTTAAAACCCAAGGAAATACATATACAGCTTCTAAATCAAAAACAATAAAAAGTAAAGCAATTAAATAAAATTTAACATCAAAAACTTTTCTTGCATCATCATAAGGATTAAAACCACATTCATATGCAGTTAATTTTTCTAAATCATCTTTTTGTTGAATTAATATAAAAGATAAAGTAAAAATTATAATAGATAAAACTAAACTAATAAGTAAAAATATAAAAATAATTGAATAATTTGATTTCATTTTTCTTTAAAGAATGTATTTTTTTAAAAAATTTAATTAAATAATAATAAATAAAAAATTTTTATTTATTATATCTAATTAAAAAAGATTCTAAATGACCAATAAAAGGTATAATAATCATAAAGAATGCAAAATAGTATATCATAGCAATAATACCTACTTCAGTATAAGGATAATCAACAGGCATTTGACCAATCCAACCTAAAATTAAGAAAGCTACAACTAATAACCAATATAATACTTTAAATAAAGGTCTAAAAATAGTACTTCTAATTTCCGATGAATTAGTATAAGGAATAGTTAATAAAATAATTAATGATCCAAACATAGCTATAACTCCACCTATTTTATTAGGAATTGATCTTAAAATAGCATAAAAAGGTAAAAAATACCATTCTGGTACTATATGTAAAGGTGTTTTCATTGGATTTGCAGGAATATAATTATCTGGGTGTCCTAAAGTATTAGGGTAATAATAGATAAATATAAAAAAAATTAACATTAAAACAACAAAACCAAATAAATCTTTTACATAAAAATATGGATAAAAAGGTACACTTTCATTTTTTATATAAATACCTAAAGGATTATTAGAACCATGTTCGTGTAATAATACTAAATGTAATAAAACTAAACCTACTATAACAAAAGGTAAAGTAAAGTGTAAACTAAAAAATCTATTTAAAGTTGGATTATCTACAGAAAAACCTCCCCATAACCATTCAACAATATTTTTACCTATTAAAGGTACTGCTGAAAATAAATTAGTAATTACGGTAGCACCCCAAAAACTCATTTGTCCCCAAGGTAAAACATAACCCATAAAAGCAGTAGCCATCATTAAAATAAAAATTAAAACACCAGAACACCATAAATGCTCTCTTGGTGTAATATAAGATCCATAATAAAGACCTCTAAACATATGTGTATATACTACAATAAAAAAAAAAGATGCACCATTTGCATGTGTATATCTAATTAACCAACCATAATTTACATCTCTCATAATGTGTTCTACACTATTAAAAGCTAAATCGATATGTGGTGTATAATGCATAGCTAAAAAAATACCAGTTAATATTTGAACTACTAACATTAAACCTGCTAAAGAACCAAAACCAAAATAATAATTTTGATTTATAGGTGTAGGATAATCTACTAAATGATTATTTACTACTGATAATAATGAATTTTTTATCCATCTCATAATCTTATTATATTAAACCTTAAAAATTTGTTAATTAGTTTTTCTGTTCCAAGGACTATTAAATTCAAATAATCTGTATTTTTGTGATAAATGAATAGGTTCATAAACAACTCTTTTTTTTAATTCATTGTAATAAACTTCTAAATAACCACTTAATGGGAAATCTTTTCGTAAAGGATAACCTTCGAAACCATAATCAGTTAATATTCTTCTTAAATCTGGATGATTAATAAAAAAAATCCCAAACATATCCCAAACCTCTCTTTCCCACCAAGAAGCTCCTTTATAAATATTTGTAATTGAATCAATAGATTGTAATTCGTTTATAATAATTTTTATTCTAATTCTAGTATTAAATCTAATACTTAATAAATTATATATAACTTCAAATCTATTTAATCTATTTAAATAATCTACAGCACAAATATCTGAAATAACTTTGTATTGACAGTTAGTATGATATTTTAAAAAAAAAAAAATAGGAATCATTTTATTCGCTGGAATATTTAATGATAATTCTTTTTTATTAAATGTATAATTAATAATTGGAAGTGTTTTTAATAAATATTGACCGTATTTAGTATTTAATGTCATAATAATATAATTAAACGAGAAAAGTGGGACTCGAACCCACAACCTACAGTTTTGGAGACTATCATTCTACCAATTGAAATATTTTCTCTTATCGGGAGAATGAGATTCGAACTCATGATCTCCTGTTCCCAAAACAGGTACATTAACCAAACTATGCTACCTCCCGTATTTAATGATGATAGGACTTGAACCTATAACATTAGGATTATGATTCCTACGTTCTACCAATTAAACTACATCATCTTTAAAATAAAATAATTATATATTTTAATTTTAAGGTCGAAGTGGGATTCGAACCCACGAGTTATCAATAATAACTGATGGTTTAGCAAACCACTGCCTTAAACCACTTAGCTATTCGACCTTTTTATAATATAATAAATATTATTATATTATAATATAATTTTATTATATTTTAATTAAAATTAAAATGCGAATAAAATTAAGAAAGCAATCATTAAAGAGAATAATGCAATTGCTTCAGTTAAAGCGAAACCTAACATAGCAGCTCTCATTAGTTCTTGTTGTAAAGAAGGATTTCTAGAAATACCTAAAATTAAAGAACCGAAAACATTACCAATACCTACTCCAGCACCAGCTAATCCAATAGTAGCTAAACCAGCACCTAAAAATTTTGCAGCTTGTAATAACATAAAAATTAATTATATAAATTTAATTTTCCATAATTCAAAAATTTTTTTAAAAGTAAAATACAACCTCTAGGACTCGAACCTAGATAATGTAGCTTAGAAGGCTAAGACTCTACCAATTAAGTTAAGGCTGTATTTTTTATTTTATTTCTGTTTAATATTATAAACAGCATTTATATAATTTCTCGATAATTGTTTATATAAATTTTTAGTTAAAAATTTTTTATCTTTTTTTTCTTTTAAAGTTAAAGTAACTGCACCAATTAAAGCAATTAATAAAATTAAACCTGCAGCTAATAAAAAAAAAGCATTATATGTATATAAAATTTGACCTAAAGTTTCAATATTGGTTATTAAATCTAATTTTAAATGCCATTGATTATGAAAATAAGGAACAGTTTCATAAGCTGGTGAATATCTAAAAGTCCAGTCTTCACATAATCTAGAATATGTTTCCATAGCTAAATTTTTGTGTATAAAATATTGATAAGAAGTAAATGATTTACTAAATATTGTGAAAGTTTCTATAAAAAAAATAAAACTTATTAAAAAAATAATAGGTAAATAACCATAATTATTATTATTAGTTTCAATTTTTTTAATATCTAGCATCATAACAACGAATAAAAATAAAACGGTAATAGCACCTACATAGATTATAATTAGCATTATAGCTAAAAATTCTACTTCAGCAACTAATAATAAACCAGTCATATTTGTAAAAACTAAGATTAAAAAAAATACAGAATAAACTGTATTTTTTGAATATATAACAAATATAGCTGAAGTTAAAGCTATACTTGAAAATAAAAAAAAAAAAACTTCATGATTTATAAAAAACATTTTTATTAAAATTTGATTAAATGAAATATATTTTATATATAATATATTTTTAAAAATATATAAAAATACTTCTTCTTATACAATAAAAATTTTTTAAATATTTTATGTTTTTATTACGAACGAATTTGTGTTATAGTAGGTTTTAATCCAAGGGTTATTACCTTCTACTTTTTCACCTTTAGTTAAAGTTATATAAATAATATAAAAAAAGAATAAAGATGCAAATAATGAAACATAAGAACCAAAAGAAGAAAGAGCATTCCAACCAGAATAAGCATCTGGGAAATCTGGAATTCTACGAGGCATACCTGCTAAACCTAAGAAATGCATTGGGAAAAAAGTTAAATTTACTCCAATGAAAAATAACCAAAAGTGTATTTGTCCTAAAATTTCAGGATATTGACGACCAGTCATTTTTCCAACCCAATAATAAAATCCAGCAAAAATACCGAAAACAGCACCCATAGATAATACATAATGGAAGTGTGCTACAATATAATAAGTATCATGTAAAGCTACATCTAAACCTGAGTTTGACATTTGGATACCAGTTACTCCTCCTATTAAAAATAAAAATAAAAATCCAATTACAAATAACATTGGAGTTTTTAATTGAATAGAACCTCCCCACATAGTAGCTAACCAACTAAAAATTTTAATACCAGTAGGTACTGCAATAATCATGGTAGCTGCTGTAAAATAAGCTCTAGTATCTACATCTAAACCTACAGTATACATGTGGTGAGCCCAAACAATAAAACCTAAAATACCAATAGAAATCATAGCATAAACCATTCCTAAATAACCAAAAACAGGTTTTCTAGAAAAAGTTGAAATAACTTGACTTATGATACCAAAAGATGGTAAAATTAAAATATAAACTTCTGGGTGACCGAAAAACCAAAATAAATGTTGGTATAATACAGGATCACCTCCACCTGAAGGATCAAAAAATGAAGTATTTAAATTTCTATCAGTTAATAACATTGTAATTGCTCCAGCTAATACAGGTAAACTTAATAATAATAAGAAAGCTGTAATAAAAACTGACCATACAAATAAAGGTAATTTATGAAAAGTTAAACCTGGTGATCTCATATTATAAATAGTGGTAATAAAATTTATTGAACCTAATAATGAAGAAATACCAGCTAAGTGTAAACTAAAAATAGCTAAATCAACTGAAGGACCAGAGTGTGCTTGTACACTAGATAAAGGTGGATATACAGTCCAACCAGTACCTGCACCAGATTCAACAATAGCTGAAGAAACTAATAAAAATAATGAAGGAGGTAATAACCAAAAACTAATATTATTCATTCTTGGAAAAGCCATATCAGGAGCCCCTAACATTAAAGGAATAAACCAGTTACCAAAACCTCCAATTAAAATAGGCATAACCATAAAAAAAATCATAATAAACGCGTGTGCAGTAACAACTACGTTATATAATTGATGATTTCCCATAAAAATTTGATTTCCAGGTTGTGCTAATTCCATACGAATTAAAACAGATAAAGTTGTACCAACTACACCTGAAAAAGCACCAAAAATCATATATAAAGTACCTATATCTTTATGATTTGTTGAAAAAAGCCATCTAGATGACCAGTTATAAAAATTTGAGTTCATTTAAATAATTTAAATATATAATATATTAAGTTAGAAATAAGTTTTT